GCAGGGGATTTACAAGAGCCTGACAGGGGGATTTACAAGATTTACAAAGAGGTTGTCGTTTGTGCTGAATTCTCAAAACGTGGTACTTCTAATGGTCGGTCTGTTGCATTAAGAGAGGCGCTGTTCAGTGGGCAGCACTTCAGATCTTCCGCTGAGCCCTTCATCTCCGCTGTCCATCTGCCCCAACATCGTGCGGCCATGTGCACTTGCTGAATCAAGTCCCAGAGGCCTTGATAAGCTTTGCTGTATCTAATCTGCTTGCATGAGCTGGCTTTTTGTCCTCGTGGGCTTCACCTCCTGCTACACTTTTGAATTTTCTGAGGGTTTTTAATGAAATCAAATATCTGTAATCCTCTTTTTACAAATGTCCTCTTCCCGGTCCATAATCCATTTTTGCAAATAGCAGTGGCCTTTCAAGGCAGGGTTCTTTATATGCAAGGACACAGGTACACACACTTTCGAGCATATATAAATTAGAATAGTTTTTTAAAAATGGGTCATGTGAGTTTGAGCTCTGGATTTCTGTGCCTAGTTCTGTCTTGTGCATAAATGTTATGGGATGAATGTGAATTTGATTCAGATCAGTTTTTTGGTTGGGACTTATTAAAATTCAGAATCAGGGACTTTTAAAAAAATCAGTTTTTTTTCAGAATCAAGACAGAAAGAACTTGAGATCTAAAAAAAAAAGTGGGAGCTTTTGCACAAAGAGCTTTCTGCAATTAAGTATTAAAGGTCTGGATGTGAATCTCTGTGCATCCAGCTGTGACATCCCTCTATAAGTACCTCGAAGGCTGTCACAGAGAGGAAGGTCAAGATCTCTTCTTGCTGATGCCAGAATGTAGGACACGGAATAGTCAAATCAAGCTATGACAACCCAGATTCAGGCTGGACGTCAGGAAAAGCTTCCTCACTGTCAGAGCGATACGACAGTGGAACCAGCTGCCTGGACAGGTGGTGGGCTCTCTCACACTAGAGACATTCAGAAAGAAACTGGACAGCCATCTGACTGGGATGGTGTAACATGGTGTCCTGCAACTGCAGGGGGTTGGTCTTGATGGCCTTCACGACCTCTTCCAGCTCTTCTGTGATTCTATGTCTGTGGCACTGAATTGCCACCTCGCTTCCTTTGCCTCCTTATCCTTAGCAACCAATCACTGGGCGAGTGCAACTCTCCCTTTCTGACCTGGATATGGTTATCTCCAAATTTGGCCAATACACATTTAATTCCATTTGCTTTAAGAACGAATTTTCTAAAATTCTCCAATTTCTTCATAAACGGAATGGTAAAAACTTGGGAATGCTATGTTGAAATGAAAGTGAAAGACATTGAAACAAGCGGATTCATCTATTTCTAGGTGGCATAAATGATTTGTGACACTCCTGGAGAGAGACAGAGCAGGACAACATCAAGGCTGCCCATCCCAAACTTAACAGTGAAACAAGTTGGATCTATGCTGGAGCCTCTTTCATTTGTGAGATTGTTTTTCAAATGCCATTGCCCCTCTGTGAGCTCATACTGTATTTATAAATAAATAGAGCACAGAATCTGCTACCCTCATGGCATGGTCAGCGTATAGTTCTGTATTTGCAGGAAGGAAGGAACAGTTTAAAAAGGCAGATATCTTTTATCGCTCACTTTTATAGTGCAAGTGCATAGTATAGTGATGTGAAACTAAGAGGTTTCTTGCTATTTAGGGTTGCTTTTCTCAAATGGCCTATAACATTTTATCTTCATGGTTGTGTCAGAATTCAGCCTTAAAAACAAACTGTATATTGGCCCTCAGCTCTGCAGCTCTGGAGGTGCACAGTGAAAAGTAGCCCCCAGAATAAAACACAACATTCCTGCCCACATTCCTCTGATATCAGCTCAAAAGCTTGGTTTCCAACAAACCTGAACATCTTCTTTGGGGAATTAAACTTTTGCAGGTGCCAGTCCTGCTGGCTGTGGTTTTTCTTACTATTCCCTCTGCTTTCCCTCTCCTTTGCTTCTCTTTTTAGCCCACTCCTTCATGGCACTTGAAAGAAAGATAGGAGCCCCAGGTCTGCAGATCAGGCCACTTGTCTGTCTGTCCAGGCAAAGTTGTAAAACAGACCCTATACCTTCAAAAACCACTCCCACCAGAAAATACTCCAATACTACTTTTTAAAAATGTACTACAACACCATGGGCAGCTGCACAATTGTGTAGCCAGTGTGATGTAATGGTTGGAGTGTCAAACAGACGTAAGAGATCCAGGTTCCAGTTGCCACGTGCCTGTGAATTTCAGTAGGTGATTTTGGGCCAGTCACTGACAGTTGGCTGAAGCCCCCTCAAAGGGCTGTTCTGAGGATAAAATGGAGCAGAGGAAGAGGTTAATGCAAGCCACCTCAGAGTGCTTGCAGGAAAAACGTTGGGATATAAATTTTATACACCCACGCACACGCACACTGCTGGATTTGTTAGTGCCTGGAATGACAATCAACTTTAAAAAGTAGATTGGAAGGGAAACAGAATTTTGGGAGAGGAATAACATGAGGGAAAAGTATTAGGGAGTGCATTCCAGTCTCAGAACAAAAGATCTATGTAAGTTGGCTGCAGCCATCAGATGTCACAGAGGTTGCCCAGAATGCCAATCTAACCACTGGAAGAAAATGTCACAACATTGCATCTTCAGAGCATGGCAACTCCTTTGAACAAGCCAGCTTTGGTTCCAGCTTGGCATCAGCCTTATGCTTTGGCAACTGTAGCATGAGGGGGATAGGCTGGGAAAGACCCCCACTGCCAAACAAACCTACTCACAGAACCAGGGGCATCTGCTGTTGGGCCACTGTGCATGGAGCAATGCTGGACCACATTCTCCGTCTCCTCTCCTTAACGCTCGGCCAGAAGAACAGCATTTCTGGAGCAGATTGTGTTGTAGCACCTGACACAAACCACTGCAGCCACACCAGCATTCACTGAAGAAGCAAGGACTGGTTGGGAAGGAATGGCAGGCCTGGATAGTCACGAACAGAGCGGAACAGAAAATACCAGTTGGGCAGGATTTAGCATGGATACGAGGGGTGAAGAAGCTCCGTTCAGTGTGTTGCAAGAGCGAGCAGGTTCACACAACACGTTAAGCCAGGTTGCCAGAGTTGGGCTTAGAAGTCACCTTAGAAACAAAGTACTGCACAGACTGCCGGGGGGGGGGGGGGCGGACTGGCTGGCCGGGAGGGTGCGTGATGCCCCCCAGCCCCCCCACCGTGCTTCCACCCCTGGAACTGCCCTTGCCGAGGTCAGCTGTTCCCCCTTCCACTCTGGTGCTGCAGCTGGTTGACAGTGGCACAGGGTGGAGGGGGGCCAACCTCAGCCTGCTTCTGACAGCCACCCCAGCAGTTGCTTGGGCACGTGCAGGGTGGCTGCCAGAGGCTTTTGCCTTGCAACCACCGGGCCAGAGCAACGACGAAACCTTGCCAAGTGCCTCCATAGCATTTGGCTTTGCGTTTGGTTGACACAGCAGGACCTGGGCTGGCCGCCACGTCTGGGCTTACAAATCCCTCTGACCGAGCATTCTGGGTTCCCGCTGCAGAACAAGCTCCTCCATTTGTAAGTCGAGAGAGCGCGTTGTGTCTTGTGAACCCAACTGGGCCTCAGCAGCTGGAACTCCTCAGGAACACACATTACAGCTGTGGAGCACCAGTTAGCTCGAGATCAGGCTTCGTATCCCAAAGCAGCAGAAATGGTGTGGGCGCATGTAGAAAAGTGCGCCTACACTTTCCGTTAATGGAGCTCACATTGCACTATCTTGCACTGGCTCACCCATTCTCCGGAAACAATTTCAGGGTGACAACCTTGGTGAACTGTGCCCTGAGGATGGCATCACTGCCAGTCACTCTGTCACGGGGGCTCTGGAATGCAAGGGGATGAACCGTGCAGTCAGAATGTGCAAGTGTCAATATGCAGTTCTGGTAGGACTAGCCTAGAGAATTCCTGCCCTGGGTGGATGAGGAGCTGTCTGCTCCTTGTCTGAAGAAGCGGCTCTCCCAAAAGCAAGGCCAGCATCCAGCGGGATAGTTGAGCCTGCTAGACTGAAAAAGGGACCCGAGATTACGGAAGGTGCTTGCCAGCTCCCTGCAGGATCCCAGTATGGTAAAGGGATGGCACCATCTAGTGGTCAGAAACATAACTGGTTTCTCAGGATGCAGAACTTCTGGAGCTGGGATGTAGAAATGCTTTGGCCGGAGAACCACGTGTGGCTTTGGGGGAAGAAACGGGCTGCACACACACAGAAGCAGTGCTGGCTTAGGGTTTCGGAGGGTCCCCAGGCAAGACCCCCTCAGTGAACTGACCTTTTCAGTCCTATTGCTACCAGCTCCTGCTGCTCCTCCTCCTCCTCCTCATTGCTACCAGCTGCAGAGCACCAGCAAGAAATAAATTGATGGCATCTACTGCTATTTCTTCTAACTCATTTGGGCTACACCAGGAGGGGCAGAAGAAAAAGCAGGTCAAGACAGTGAAAAGGCAGTAGCAGGGGCTCGTGTCAGTGGACCCCAAGCAGCTCAACCATGTGTAACCTCAATACTGACCCTGCCCAGAACTGTTTGTAAGCACGCGCAGATATGTGTGCGCACGGACATACCCATTTTCTTTGGTGGCAGATCCCGAGAGTTCCAATTCCTGGAGCATCTTCTGGGAAGCAGGCCCCCCGAGTGCCGATTCCTAGAGCAGAGATGGGGATATGAGGCCTTGTGGGTGCTGTTGGACTACTACCCACTTACTTTTGCACTGTCAGAACTCTTGATCCTCAGGTGGTCAACTAGACCCCATCTTTGCAACGAATGTACCATTGATGTGTTTGTGCACAACCAAAGATTTTGCCGTAATCTACAACAGCTATGCTTCTCCCGAAGGCTGACGGAATTTCACTATACATGCATTCTTCACATGCAAGTTCTACCATGCTCTAGAAAAAAAACCCCTCATACTTACTATATCTGACTTTTACTTCTACTCAGGTTGTCAAAATTACAGCAGACACAGATTGGAAAAGCATTTGGTTTTTATTGAACTGAAGCAAAGATTGTCCAAGTTATTTTTGAGAGAAAATAGATTTCAGAAAACATCTTTTGACACTCAGGCCTGTAGTACCAAAAAGCAAGCCTTCAATATACAGTATTTATATCATATACAGGATACAATAAATTAATATCTACATGCAACATATAGAAAGATACGCACTGTAAAAATACAGTATTTTTCAGCTTATTTTGTTGAAATTTTTATACAGGTTTTAATTTACATTTTTACATATTTTTGTAAACGTTTTTTCTTTATAAAAATCAGAGTACACCACACGTCACCACCATTCACATCGGCACTTCAGCCTGGACAAAATGGCCACACGATCCTAACTTGCACCTTCATATCTACCATGGCATCACTTTCACATCATTACACTACAAAGTTCATTTCTTCTTTTGCTCACTTGCATATATTCAAGATACTAAGTAATGTAACCATAACATCTGTGCTTTAAGAATAAAATGGCAAGCAATCAAGTGTCATTACAACCGTTTTTATCAACTTCACATTTACCAACACTTCCGCATATAATCAATTGCCTTTCTGCTAAGAACTTTCACTTAAGCATGCAAACATGTTATGATTATGGATTTACTTATGACAACTTAAAAGATACTGAAATAAGCTACAAGAGTTAGTAGTTAATGGGAATGTGGACTTTACACTGAATGCCAATATTTCTAATTTAAGTACTTTTTACATTAACACAAAAGTTTTCTGAACACATTTCATTCCTTTATGAGGATCCGAAAGCTAGTCCCAGACCTTTTAACACTAAAATATGCCTGGAACATTGAACCAGGTTGGTTTGCATTTTGAAAGGTCATCTTATTCTTTCTTTAAAAATCTGAGCATGTGCTTGATTAAATAAGCTTCCTGAAATTGAACAAAGCTTTAAAAATGAGACACGCGCCTTTGTTTAAAAGAATGAACAATGAAAGTTTTGGTTAAAGTACTTCAGTCTAAAAAGAAATTAGCATATAATTTTTGCCTTTTAACCTATCCCTAAAACATTTCATCATTAAAATTCAACCTTTCATTTCAGCAGGGCATCATTCAAGCACATACCAAGTGTTGCAGCCTATCTGACAGTGTGCGCTTGTTAATGCTTCTCACTGAATAAAGGCTTAAATGCTTGATTGGGTCAATCCACCTTGCTACATATCACTAAGGAGAAAAGCGCAGAACACATCCTGGATACTCCATGAGGCCACGTACCAAGGTACAGAGAGTGCTTAGATACTTATTGCCTAAAGTACTACAACGCATTAAGAGCTGAATCTATCACACTGAGTCAAAGGAGAGAGGCTGCCACTTGGATTTCGGCTTGAGGTCAAAGAAGAAAGTGCTTTCCAAGTCACTTGGTGGAGAACTGCTAAGGCTTTCTTCTCCGCAGCTCATATCTTCACAAGAATCCTCACTAAAAAAGATGTGATAGAAAACTATCAGTCACAGTGATCCCTGTGGAGGAGCACAGGTGAACAAGCAAGCAGAAAAAGGAATTTTAAGGACAGCCACGCACAGGACCAGTGGCTGAAGGGTGACTTGAAAAGATCTATAGAAAGGTGCTTTATGCAGAGACAGGCAGTTAGTCCATCTTGCTCAGTACTGCTGGCTGTCTAATAGCAGCGATTTCCTGGGTTCCAGGTATGTTTACTCTGATATACCTGGAGACACCAGGCATCAAACCTGGGACCTTCTACATGCAACACACATGCTCTGTCACTGAGCTAAAGCTCTCCCTATTTAATCTGATCCTGCAAGCAGGTAAACAGGTGCCTAAGCTGGCACACTCAGGACCACTTAAGACAGGTTTGGAAAGTTTTCAAGGTAGTTAGGCATGACCATAGATTCTTATTTATAAAGATAGCAACCTCTGTCTCACAGGGAAGCCTAGTGCAATACAAGTGAAGCTACTAGGCATTCCTGTTTTAAAGGCACCTGTTTAGGAAGCTGCATTGTACCAGGGTAGACAAATACACTACTGCCTGTTTTTACTAGAAGTAGCTCTCCAGGAGGCCAGGACATTAACCCCACTATCTGATTGAAATACTGCAAGTGCAACAGACGGATTCTGCAACCATCTACAGGTAGAACACACGTGTTCTACCTTTCCCACAGACACATGTACTCAGAGATGTTGTGGTACAGGTATATTGTGTGCCCTTGCACATGTACAATTTAGTTTCAGCTTCCTGGGTTGGGATGTCAAATTGGTCTGGATAAGAGGGCCGCAGGGGGTAGGTCTTTGTTCTTGACCTCAGAAGCTAATCAGCCCCAGCACCTGGTCCCCTGCTGAAGCAGTGGCTACAGGTTCTCAGTCAAGGAGCCCGCTTTGTTCCCCCTGGGCTTCCCCTAGCCTGTCTCCACTGCCCATCCTCCAGGGAAGGCAAGAAAGGACTGGATGTGCTTCAACCACCTCCCCCGCTGTGGTTTACCTACCTCTCACTTTCATCAAAGCAGCCAGCCTCTGGAATTGTGGGCAGCTCAGGAACACTGTAATAGCTGTTCTGAAGATTTTGGGCAGTGCGCCTTGAAACAATCCAAACTAGTTTTTTATGGTCTGGCTTGCAGCAGGCAGGGGAAGAGTAATCAGCCAAGCATTTTGAAACCAGCTCCCTCCAATAGAGTAAGTCACTGTCACTTATCTGAAAAATAAATAAACCACCTTGTGTGTAGTTATATTAGTCCTACTAGAAAGAACTCTCTGCCTCAAACCCACAGTGGCTAGACTTAGCCACACAAATTTGAGTGTAAATCCCACGGCATACATGGGACTTACTTCCAAGTACACATGCACAAAAATGCAGCAATATCAGCTGCCTTATCTCAACTGTATTTGCTCGAAGTAAGCAAGGTAATCTCAATGAACCTTAGGTTCAGGTGACTGAAACTGCACTCTGCTGTGCTGAGCAGCTCGTCAGCAATGCATGACGTCAGCCTCTAATGCACAGGAGTAATGAAAATGGCATTTGAAATGGAGTGGGAATGGGCAGTCTGCATCCAATTATTGGTCTCCCATTTACAGCTGCTTCTCATGGGTAGATGTCAGCTTTTATGCACAGGCTACCAGCATCGGTTTTACATGACAACTTTTATGACTACTTAAAGGTACTCAAAATGTACTTTTTTAACATAACTGCCTTAATCATGCCATACCCAATTTACAAGGGATACAGACAAAAGAAGTGTCACTGTAAGATGGGGAGGTACAGCACTTTGTTTACCAGCTGATTGTAGACATAGACTGCAGCCTGTTGTTTGCAGTGATCACATGGTGCAAAGGCAGCATCTTTCATGTTGTTAGTTGTTATTCTTTTTGGTTTGTTTTACTTCTGTAACCATCTTGTGCATGACTAATCTAGAGCTTTTCAACAATAGTGACCCTCCCAATGATGCATGCCAAGATGGCTCCAAAAGAAAAAAGTTAGCATTTCCAGAAGAGGATTCATTACACGGTGCTAGAATTGCTTGAGCCAAGATGAATAATGCCAATATAGTTTTTTCTTACCTTTGAATGCTTCTGAATACACAGGATAATCTCAAACAATTCCATGGACTTCAGAGTCTGCACTTCCAGAGAGAGAAGGCACAGGGCCAAGATTGATGGCTGAAAGCAGAAATATACATATACAGCTCAGGAATGTATTGCTGGATTCCAACATTAACTCGCTAAGCAGTCCACTGGAGAACTTACTTTTGCTTTTGAAAAAACTAGTCGGCAGTAACAAGCTTTAAGTTGTGCTTCCAGTTTGTCGAGATTTAACAATTCTTTCCTTTAAAGAGACAAGATAAACATTGACTTAAAAAGCAGCTGATTAAATGAAAAGTCACCATTAGTCAAACTGAAGGACAGCTCAATCCACCTGCTATAAGCATCTCACTTCTACTTATGGAAACCACTGCCTTCTGTCACAAGTTTCAGCCATATTTCCTTATTTTCCTGAGCTTGAGCACTCATCATACAGAAACATGTCAACTGGGACCAGCAAGCAGAAAGCAGATGTAGTCAAAAGGAGAAGAGTGAAAAAGCTAATATGTAGGACGTAGATTTCAGAATACCTAATGCAAAACAGGAAATGAGACTGATCCAACACCTACCTTTCTGAGGTATAACAGAGTACAATAGTATGGTACAAGTGCAAAAAGGTTAAGGCAGTAGTAGCTTTGAAGTCAAAGTGCAGTTTTTCCGATATTATTTTTTCCATCCGCTTCAGGTCCGACACAGTGCATTTGCATTGGCTAATCCGGATGACATCATGGAGGGACGGAATGTTGCCTTCCTCTTCAACGACTTGAGCAGCTAGCTGAAAACAGCAGACTCCAATGCAGGACAAATGCTTAGGTTTCACCTAAGGATTAGAACATTATGAACTTGTGCAGTAGATGGAAAGCTTCCTAACAAAACGATGAGTAAGGGATAACAAGGGCAGCACTTTAAAAGGTTCTGCAAATTAATTCAGTATTCTTCAAGATATGCTATACATTCAGCTCTTTACAGTGAGTAGAAGAATAAGAAAATATCCCAGAAAGTTCAACTGCAATACCAACCAACTCTATCACAATTAAGATATACTCCTAAATCACTCTGCATTTCTCACTTGGCAATTGGTATTGTTGTATTGCAGCAATGGATCATTTGTAAGGCCTTATCTTGAATCACAGCATACAATTCAGGTAATGCCATCAAATAGTGCAACAAGGCTGTGATCCAGTTTGAGAACAAAGACAACAAAAGAGGTCCAGAAAAGACAAAAGTGTAATGGGACTATTCCTAAATATCACATACCTGCACACTGCGTACATCAGTATGTCCTAAATTTAACTCCCTAATTCTGAATATAGTCCATTATGGATGGAATCACTCCAGATGCCAATAAATGATTATCTTGCCTCCAAGTTTGAAGAAAGTATCAAAAGCTTTTAAGTATATATACTTAATACAGTATGTTTGAAATTCAATATAGCAGTTCCTTCCAAATCTAGATACCTTCATAAGTGCCAAAAATCTGTCTAGAATGTTGACAGCCAAGACAAACGTTTCTGTGGCAAACCCAAAGAAGCTGGTGAGGCTCCACAGATCTTCTACTTTTGCATTCCTTAGTCTTGGACATAAGGTGTTTTCATTCTGCAATAAGAAAAACATCATAATGATAACTGGACTCTACACTGTAAAATTTTCAAGGATCTATACATTCCTCTCACCCTCAGTGCAACTTGTCCAGGGACAAGTCAAGCAGTTTCTTTCAGAAGCAAAGAAGCCACCCTACAGTAAAGCGACTCATGGACTGGCACCAGTCTAGCATGCATACAGGGAAGTAAGAGGCTGCCCATCCTGACCACCTCTGGGGCAACAGTTCATTTCTAATCACAGCAACACCTCTAAGATCTGGGTCAGAGGTCCTTCTTTGGGAGTCCTCTTCGAAGGAGATCAGAAGGGTGGCTACCCGGAGAAGGATCTTCTCCACTGTGGGGTCCCGGCTATGGAATGGACTCACCAGAGAGGTGCACTAGGCAGGGATATGTTTTTCATTTTGGCACCAGGGCAAAACCTTTTAATTTCCCAGTGTTTTAAATGTTAGTATTTTTTAATATTGTTTTTATATGCTATTGTGATGCTGTATTTTATTTATGTTATCGCCACCCTCAGGCACTGTAAAGGGCGGGATACAAAAACTTTAAACACACACACACACCCTGGAAGTCAAGCAACATGCCATGCATGCTACATAGTGCCTGGCCAGCACCGATTCCTCAGTACGGTTGCTTTGGGGAGCGGCACTGTTCAGTGCACAAGCGAAGAGTAGGAAAACTGCAGTGAAGCTCAAGTGCATGCTATGTTTTCTTGGTTCAAACAGGGGAATTAAACATATATTTAAATCTTCTCTAATGAGATCAACAGGATCTCATGCTGCTTAATTTTGGATTGACCAGCCCCAGTAATGAAAGAGCTGCTATTTGCAGCACATAAAACCTCTTTACAGAGCAATAGCTATGTGCAGAACAAGTTGGCACATAGGAATATTTTATTTCTTATATTCCCAACCTAAGTGTAAGCAGAACCTTTCTTTGAAAACATTTACTGAGATAGTTTGCCAGTTCAGAAGCAATCCTGCTTCAGTGAGTGGATTTAACTTAGAGTTGCCTAGTTTAGATATAGTAGGAAACTACTTTGAGCAAACCATTACAGAAGTATCAGAGTCAGTACAGAACTTCATTCAGCTTTGCAATGGTTCCGCTCCTATCTCAACGGTCGATTCCAGAAGGTAGTGCTGGGGGACCATGTCTCTGCGTCATGGCAGCTATGCCATGGAGTACCACAGGGCTCCATTCTATCCCCTCTGCTATTTAACATCTATATGAAACCGCTGGGAGAGGTCATCAGGAGGTGTGGGCTGCGGAATCATCAGTACGCTGATGATACCCAGCTCTACCTCTCGTTTTCCACTAATCCAGGTGAGGCAGTGGCTGTGCTGAACCGGTGCTTGGCCGAGGTAATGGAATGGATGAGGGCCAATAAACTGAAACTCAACCCAGACACAACGGAGGTCCTGTTGGTTGGCGGATCGGGCTTCGGAGAGGGTGGAGTTGACCTGGTCCTGAATGGTGCAACACTCCCTCTTAGGGATAAGGTCCGCAGCTTAGGAGTACTCCTCGACCCGGAGCTTTCTTTGGAAGCTCAGGTGACAGCGGTGGCGAGGAGCGCCTTCCTTCAGCTTCGGCTGATTAATCAGCTGCGCCCCTACCTGGAGTTCAACTGCCTGGCGACCGTGACACACGCGCTGGTGACTTCCCGCCTAGACTTCTGTAATGCGCTTTACATGGGGCTTTCCCTGAAGACGGTCCGAACACTTCAATTGGTGCAAAATAGAGCTGCCAGGTTGCTGATGGGGACGGGGCGTTATGCTCACATGACTCCAGTCCTCCGTCAGCTTCACTGGCTGCCCATTGAAGCCCGGGCCCAATTCAAGGTGTTGATTATGACCTATAAAGCCCTAAACAGCTTGGGTCCAGGCTACCTGAACGAGCGCTTATGTCCGTATATGCCCGACCGCCCTTTGAGATCTGCGGGAGAGTCCCTTCTCCGGGAACCCTCCATGAAAGAAATTAGGAGAGTAAGTACTCGGAGGAGGGCTTTCTCTGCGGTGGCGCCCAACCTATGGAATTAACTCGCCAAAGAGGTCCGCCTGGCACCGTTGTTACTGGTTTTTCGGCGCCAGGTAAAGACCTTTTTATTTAAACATCATTTTAATTGTTAAAATATATGATCTGGCCAGGGCAACTTCTTCTTCCTTCTCTTTTCTCCTCCGATATTATTTATTTATTTTATACTGATAATTTTAATTTTATATTATTATGTTTGTAACTCAATGTATTTTTTGTATTTTTGTATTTAATGGTAATTTATTATGTGCTATTGTATTTCAATGTATTTTATTGTGTTGTAAGCCACCCCGAGGCTTCGGCAAGGGGCGGCATAGAAATGTAATAATCATCATCATCATCATCATCATCATCTTTTGGGGGCCATGTTCTAGTGCTGGCCAGGGCAAAAGGGATAGGACCAAACCGCCTCAGACCCTGAGATTTTTCCCCTCTGCTCTTGACCAAATACACTATTAGGCTAACATTGTTGCATTTGGTCATTATGAAATGGTTTGAACACTCGAAGTTTAATTAATTAGCAATACTACTAGCTGCCAGTTCTAACTACATTTAAAAATATCTATGCCTTGGCCATTTCCTCTGCAAATACGTCACACAACTGAGGTCTGACCACATCACTACCCCAAGGAACAAGCACCTCCTTACCTCAGCAGTGCACTCGATCAGACTCAGTCCCTTTTCACGAGGCTGGTACTTCCACTCCTGCTCCAAATGGAATTTCAGCTGCTTGAAGAGCCAACTGCTCATTTGCTCTTCGACACCCATGTCCTTCATCTTAGCGGGCAGGGTGAGGAGAGAGAGAGAAAAATCTATGTAGTCATTTTAACAGTTGAAAGGTGTATTACAACCTAACAGCCACTTTAATATTAATCATAGAACTTAGGATTCTAGTCCTGATTTGTTCTAGCCCGTGGCAATAAGAGCTGTACAATTAAGAACTGGATAATCTTTGAACATTCCATTCTACACTTTTCTCTGAACTGTCCACCCAAAAGAAACTGAAAAAAGATAAAAATGGATAATCAAGCTATCCAATGAAAGCAAAAGCAAGGAATAGAACACGGACTTGAATCCTCTTCCTGGCAAGACCAGGAAGGACTTGCCCCACTGCCCTTTTCCCAAGAAACTAACAGAGACGCTTGCTGAGAGAGGCGGAAAGAGAGCTGTCATGTACACAAAACACAGCAACTTTCCAAAGACTGAAGGGGGCAGCAGCAGCACACACAGAGATGGATTCACCAGCAAGAACCACCCTCAAGCTACAGCTCTATTCACACATGCTTGGGAGTAAGACCTATCAAAACAAAGAGGACCTGCTTTTAAGTAAACATGCACGGCATCAGGCTGCACAAGTGGTTAACACATTTTGATAGCCTCTCCTGACTATTTAAGGGCAGGTCAGCACATAATCTTGCCAGATCTCGGATTCCTCTGTGATTTCCGTATGATTGGGATCATCCCTTATTAGTAGTCTCTTCCTTTCTCTTGCACCCCCCACACACATGTGCAGACACGTAAAACAAGTTCTCCCCGAGTCTAAATGCACCTAGTTTCAGTTCCTCCATATATTATGCAAATAAAGTGAATTTGTTCAACTCGGGAGAAAAATGACTACCATGATTCTGTTCTGAGCCTTGGGTCAGTGCTATGCTGAACTCCAAATATAAAAGAACTCAACTCGAAACCAGAGCATGAAGCAAGGCATATGCCATTTATACATGAGAACAGCACAATTGCTATCACACATCTGTCTGGACCAGCCTAACAAAGGCACTCCAATACATAAAAGATCCTGATAACATTAGATGCTGCATGTAAAGAAAGACTCAGCCTCCCATTTCTTCCCTCTGTGAATTTGCCCATAAAAATGTCACCCTCTATCACTGTTAAATTCCAGGTGTTTATGTGTCTCCCCCCCCCCATCAACACAGCCAAAGAACACACAGATCTTCCAGATCAATAGGCAACTTTACCTAGTTTTACTTACCACACCCATCTGCCCCAAGCCCCCGTTCTTACTGCCTTTCCCCCTGACCCTGCTACTATTTTTATGGTGCCTTCCTCCCATCCCAGTCAAACCTAAGAAACCTGTACAAGAAACTTCATTCAAATGCATCACCTGCCTACTCCCTTCTTAATATAGCAACCTGCTAACTCTGAAAACCACACAGTCACCACAAAACACTGCCTGGTCACCTCTATCATACACTTCCCTCCAGAAACAGATCTTGTTCATTGCCTCCCACCCCACAGATACGATTATATTCTCTTCTGCCCCACTGCACCTTTCCCCTATCCTCTCCCAATTAGTAAAAGACAACTCTATAGGGGATCTCTCGCATTTAAAGCCAAATAATATCCCCCAGAGCCACCTGCCAGTTTCCTTGACGCTGTCTAAAACTTCCCATCCTCAAAAATCTTTATCTTGGTCTGCACAAAGCTGTACAAATCCTTCCAAATGAACTCACTCCAGATGAGCCTGGATCATTCTCTCTTGCACATAAATTCATTCCGTGGCAAGTTAAGTATATGGGCAGTGAGCCAGGAGCCCTATCAACAAAGAGGCTAGTAGCAACATAAAGACTAATGCATTTATTCCCACATAAACTTTTGCGGACTATAGTCACATTTTAATTAAACCCATAGTGTTGCAGGTATAAATTCATTCCCTATGAGCCCCTTTCCTTCATCAGTAACAGAGAAAAAGTAACTAGTCTAGCCTTTGGAAAATAAATAAAAATCCAGCTTTACTAAGCTTGTCGTCAAAAAACAAAAACAAAAAAACGGCCAGGAGGAAGGATAAAGAATCAATTTTCTTTTTTTGCATTCATTGTTCCAGCCTCTTCAAGAACGAACCCCTCCCACACCATTTCTTCCAACACAATCTTAGCAGAGACTTCCACCGTGTATTTATTGCTTCCACTGCTATCCCCGTCTTACTGCACAGATCACCCAGAGCTGCGAACAATAAATGTACGACTTCAAAACAAAACAAAGCCAAACCGATCCAGCCCAACAATAAAGCAGGAATGCGCAGAGCAAAGCCAGATTTTGCAAAAGCAATCTTTTCACCATCCCTGGATGTTTTCTTCCAAGGCGACCACACTGACTACCCTCTCCATAACCGACCCGTAATGTTACGGGTCGTTACCGAAGCTTTGTGCTTTGCATTCTTCTTACGGGGAAGGAAGGAGGATGACAAAAACAGCAGCACCGGGAAGAGCGCACCTGCCGCCCCCCTCCAGGGTGTCAGTTCAGCCCCCCGGACCACTTTTCCCCCCCCCCACCCAAAGACGCCCCCCCCCCCCCGACTCACCTTTCCTCAGGAGCAGGGCTTGCTTGCCTTTCCCGGACTACGGAAGGGACGGAGGAGGAGGAGGAGGAGGAAGGTCGGGGGCTGGCACGACGGGACCGATCCCCTCAAGGGCGGCGGCGACAGCTGCGGCAGCGCCTCGTCCTTCTCGACCCAGCAGCCCCGCATCCAGCCACCACCCGCTCGTCCTCCAACCCCCGGCCTTCCCCGCCCGGGAGTCAGCGCACAAGCAACAGCATCGCCTTCTCCTCCGGCCGCCCGCCCGCCAGCCAGCCCGGGGCCCCGCCGCAGAGCGAGCAGGCGAGCGACGCATCAAAATGGAGGCTGCGGGCCGAGAGAACCCAGGCCCCGCCCCCTCGGAGTCACATGACCGCCGCTTTTGTTGTTTTCCTCCCGGAGGCTCGAGCTTTTTTCTTTTCTTTTTTTTTTGAGCGGAGTGATACGACGCACCGAAGCAGAAAAAGAACGATTAAAAACAATAAATCTCCCCTCTCTTCATTAGTTTCTGCGATGGAATGGCTAATTCTAATACTGACTCGGAGTAGGCGTCGATTTCATCACACGTCCAACAGGAACTCCATCTTCGGCTTTGTTTCCTCGGCTTCTTGTAAGAAAAGTGTTGGCGGAAGGACACCAATTTTTTCAGACACATCACTCCTTTAAAGGGACAAGGAGGAAAAAAAATCTGTTTTTGAAAAGTCCGCCCAAATATCTGTGTGCTGATTGGTCAGTGCTGGGCGAGTAGCGATTGGACAAATGGGGTTTCCCCCTCCCTAATCTCGGATGTTTTGCGGTTCGAAGGCGTTTGTGTTTGTTGGTTGAGGGTGACAGCAACGCTCTGCCATTGACCAATGAGAACGGACCTTTGTCCTCCTCCTCCTCCTCCTCCTCCGTCCCCGCCCCCCCCGGGCTGTTTTTCCCGTTGCCTCTCAGGGGAGGGCAACGGGTGGGGGTGGCGCGCAGCTGCCTCAACTGTCAGTTCTCCAACTGTCGTTTATCTGCGAAGAAAAGACACTGACAGGGTTCAGACAGCACCATGATCCGCATTCAAGGATTGACTATGGGTTGTTGTTTGAAGGGGGCGTGTTTAAAGGAGGGTTATCATGTTGTCTGAACCCATTTAGGTGGATACCTTGACAGCCCAGCAGCAAGCCTTGGGTTCTGCTCATGGGCTGTTCACAAACTGAGACCATACAACAAGTCATATTTCAGCAATAACCTGAAGTTCAGTGACAACCTGGACTTACTGTGTTGTCTGAACCCAGTTGTGTTTACAAGCCATGAACAACCCTTGAAAAGGACCTATGGTTTGCTGTTGATTGTGAAGTGTGGGCTGTTTGGCATGGCTTGTTATCTCACCTGGGTTCAGACAGCATGATAAGCAATGCTTCAGCAACAACCCTTAATGGAAGCCAGTGTGGTGCAGTGGTTAAGAGCATGGGATTGGGACTCAGGCAACCTGGGTTCTAATCCTCACTTGGTCATGGAGCCAACTGGGTGTATTTAATGAGCAAATCAATGGCTATAAAATTGTCGCCAATTGCATTACCCCAAAACACCCCAAAAGTGGTTGGCCAGAGGAAGGCCACATAGGAAAAACCACAGCCATATTGAATTTCCTGTCTCAGAAGGGAGGGTGGATAAGAACAAAATGAACTTTGTGTAAGCTAATAAGCTAGCCTAACCTTGAATACAGTTATCAAAGGGACAGTGGAAACTGGTTATAGCTGCCATGAAAGTTGCAAATGTCCAGGGAGTGGCAAGCCTGTGTGAATCTTGAGCAGATAAGAAATAGACATGAGAAATGTCCAGTCCTTGACAGAAGAGAGGTCTCTTTGAAACTAATAGCAGTGGGGGTGTGGCTACATTGATGTATTGATGCATTAGATGTGTATTAGGTGAACTAATTGCTTACATAGGTTATAAAACTCATGTGCTGGGGTGCAACTTTTGAGACCCTCTTTGGGCTGCATATCTCCTTTCGTCTCCCTTTATTCTATAGTGCACTAGAATAAACCTGGTTTGGCTCTAAGCTTTGTCGCAGGCTTCTTTTGACTTGGGGTCTGAGGTCCCCCCGGGCTTATTTATTTACAATATTTTTTACCCCTTCCTTAACAAAAGTCCTAGGATGGCTAAATAAATACCAGAAAATAAATAAATACCAGTGTTACCCGACTGAGCCAGTCAACAGCTGGGGCAAACCCGGGTGGACCCCAGACCCAAGCCAAACAGAGTCTGAGACGAGACTTAAAGCCAAAATCAGCTTTATTCTAGTGCACTATAGAATAAAGGGAGACAAAAGGGGACATTCAGCCCAAAGCAGTGTCTCAAAAGTTGCACCCCAGTACATGTGTTTTATACCCTAGGTAACCAATTAGGTCACCTAATACACATCTAATACATCGATACATCAATGTATGCACCCCCTCCCGTGCTGGAGATAGAGTCCTTTCTTCTGTCAAGGACCAGACATTTCCCATGTCCATTTCTGATCTGCTCAAGAGTCACACAGGCTTGCCATGTTCTTACTCCCTGCACATTTGCAACTTTCATGGCGGCTAGAACCAGTTTCCACTGTCCCTTTGATTACCATATTCGAGGTCAGGCTAGCGTGTTAGCTGTGAGTTACACAAAGTTCATTTTGTTCTTATCCCACCTCCCTTCTGGGACAGTATAACTGTGGTGTTTTTACTATGTGGCCTTCCTCTGGCCAACTACTTTTGGGGCCTTTCTCTGGCCAATTACTTTTGGGGTGTTTTGGGCTGCTGCCAGAAAAAAATATATGTGCATGCTAGGGGGGTGTCTGAATGCTCCCAGTAGGAAGGCAAGCTTTCCCACTTCCTTAGTTGCAGGAAGCACTAAGTCTCCTGGGGTGCCTCTGCTTTGGCGCCCTGGCAGCTTTCGCTGAGCGCATCCGAGAAGTCATTCGGGAGCTCTGCAGCCATTGTTGTGGCCAGGGTCATCCCAGCCCCATCATCTTAGGAAATCTACCTTTTAAAAATCATTAGCATCGTTATTATTATCATCATAATCTACCCTAATAATAGAGTGACAGGCAGTAATTCAGGAGGTACACTTATTCCTGTGATTGCATCTCTATGTGTAAAAACAAAACAAAAAACCTCTCTGTTGAGTTTCTCCCTGTCATGCAACTCTTAGGATGTGATCCTATGCTTGTTTACACAGAAAAATCCACAGGGATTTGCTTTTCAAAAAATGTTTGTGAAAAATGGTATGTGGTAGTAAGGTTCTGTAGAGTGGTAACAGAATCAAATGATTGATCTGCCTAAATATTTTTGATATGGGATTATTTATTATGTGCAGTTAGACCATATCTTGTTCATCCTCATAATGATCTGCTGAGATGTTACTGTAGTTATATTTCTATGGTTACCTAGGAAAAATTCTTCCTGAGAGACTGCAAGTTAACCAAGTATGTCCAAAGAAATTTATGGCTGAGTCCAGGACAACTCAAATCCATATTCAACCTTTTATTCACTGTACCAGCCAAATATAAAGACTCAGTAATGGGATTTCTGAAGCTGTCCCAATTCCCAGACCCATTATTGCTGGGAGTAAACTTGTCCAGACAAGTCAACTCAGGTGTTGATTGTGGATCTTTACACCTGGCTAATACCTACTTATTACTGGCGTTTTTTAAAAAAGTGTTTTATGAGTACACACATGCCCAAGTTCCATCCTTCTGAATTCAGTGGAATAATTTCCACCAGGTGCAGTTTGGAGTGCATCCTTAAGAATACTAAGCTCCTGAGTCTGGACTGGACAATACTGCTGAGCTGAGACCTAGACTTGGTTCACATATAACAGCAGCACTTGGTGACAAATCATGGATTAATTAACCCATGATTTGTAGAAATATGTGTTCTGCAGAAGCCATTTCCAGCTTGCAGCAACAACCTGTGAACCCCATTCATACGAAGTTGTCAGTGAGATATCCAAACTTGTATAGTTTAGCCTATATGTTGTCTAAACAACCCAAACTTCATCCATAGTTTGTTCTTAATTTTAGTTGTCTGTCAGAATTATCAGTTCAGTAGCAGTGGAGGCTGAAAAGTTATTAGGGTCACCCTTGGCTTTGTCCCTGACCTAACCTTGGGACAGTGTTTCTTTGGGGGGTGGGGAGATAGTCACTCTAGTAAACTATCAATTTTTATTAGAACAACTGGTGGGTTTTGGATGAGACAGTTGGTGGAGAGCATTTCTGAGTGCAACTTAAGTCTAACTTTTTGTGCAAATGACCTGTCTGGAAAATTTTAGTTCTGGAGGTAAAATGTTTTGGAAACTTATGTTTCATGGAAACTATTTAGCAATACAAGCTGCTGCAGGTTTTTCTGGGCTGTGACGTGTTTTTGGAATAAACAATGTTATTTTTACAAAGCAGCACAGTATTTGTTTTGGTATTGTAATTTTAGATAGTTCCAATTTCTGCCTTTGTTGCTTTTGTCGTGTGGGGGCTGGCTAAATTGCTAAAGTGCAGGTTGATTATTCTATGAAATATTTCAAATCCACACACTACAGTATCATCTTCCTGATGGTCACCAAGTAGGATTTGCATATCCATCCATAGTTGCAGAGCCTGATTACACTGACGCAAGCCCAATTCAGAAATTTCAGAGTACTTAATGAGTAATTAATTAAGCCATCATAACATACCTGTGAAGTGATATATATGTTTGCCAAGAGCAAGGCATGGAAGCAGTTTTTAGCTCT